GCGACTTCCGGATAAATAAGCCGAGATGCGTGGTACCTTTCACATAGCGTAGAACCCGCTTGAGCATAGACCAGTCAGCCGTGGTAGGAGCTTGCATGCGCTGACAGAGCTGATTCACTGCAAAAGAAATATCAAGCTTGGTGACAGTAAGATACTGAAGAGCCCCAACCAGACTCCGGTACTGAGTAGGATCTGCATACGGAACCGCGGACTCCTCAGCCACCTTGACCAGAGAGACTGGCGTGCCAAGAGCCTTGCAATCAACCATGCCAGCTCGCTTCAGAAGATCACCCATGTACCGCTTCTGAGACAACAAAAGGCCACCTTGATGAGAGACCGTCTCAATACCAAGAAAGAAGGACGGAGCCCCCATATCTCGAACCTTAAAAACAGTGGCCATCCGAGAAATTAAGCTAGCGACCTGAGCCTGATCAGAACCAATCCCAAGAATATCGTCCACATAGACGAGAACAAACAACTGAAAATTAGAGCTAGAGTGAATAAATAAGGACACATCAGTTTTCGAGGAAGCAAACCTAGCAGAAACCAAGAAATAATGTAACTGAGTAAACCACGCCCGCGGAGCCTGTTTAAGACCATAGAGCGACCGTTGTAGCAAGCAGACATGACCTGGTTTACTCTTATCTTCATACCCAGGCGGCTGACGCATATAAACGGTCTCCGACAAATTTCCATTGAGAAACGCATTGTGAATATCAAGCTGCCGGATCACCCAGTCACGAGACACGGCAAGAGAGAGCAACAAACGTACCGTGGTGGGTTTGACCACCGGACTGAACGTATCGAAAAAATCTTGACCAGCCACTTGGTTAAACCCCTTGGCCACGAGCCTAGCCTTATATCGCTCAACAGAACCATTCGCCTTGCGCTTGGTCCGAAAAACCCACTTACAGCCGACAACATTCATACCGTGAACCTTCGGAACTAACCGCCATGTGTTATTATGCAGCAACGCATTAAATTCAGTGTCCATCGCCTCACGCCACTGCGGAGATTTCACCGCTTGAGAAAAGCACGTCGGATCCGGATTAGAAGACTGAGCAACCAGTGCCACATGATCCTCGGCAGCCACCCCCATACTGCGCAAGGACATAGAGTGCGACCTTGGGAGGAGCTGCCGACGCCGAACCGGGATTGCCGTGGGCGTTGAGGCCGTCGCTGCTGCACTGGATGGAGCAGCAGCATGCAGAGGCGCTGCTTGCCGCAAATCAGGCACAACACCCGTCTCCTGAGCTGCACGTGGAGCCGCCGTAACAGATAATGATGGCAAACAGAAGGCAATACGCACAAGAGCCACAGACTACGGATCATATGCATTCTCAGAGGGAAGAACCTGCGGAGCAGAAGCAGAAAGAAAAGGGAACACAGATTCATCAAATCTCACGTGTCGGCAAACAAAAACCTTATTAGTGGCAAGATTCATGCAACGATAACCACGAAAAGAATCAGGATACCCTAAAAACACACAGGGAGCCGATCGATACTCAAGTTTATTTTTATTATACGGGCGTAGTAATGGAAAACAAAGACATCCGAAGACTCGCAAAAACGAATAGGAGGGAGGAGAGAGATATAGCAATTGATACGGACTAGAATTCCCCAGAACAGACGTAGGCAACCTATTAATAAGATAAACGGCGACCTCAAAAGCATACTCCCAAAACCGAATAGGAACAGAAGCCTGAGCCATTAAAGCAAGGCCAGTCTCAACGACATGACGATGTTTTCGTTCAACCCGGCCATTCTGCTCATGCGTATAGGCACAGGATTGATGATGAACAATACCAAGACTAGTGAGAGTAGTATGTAATTTTTTATACTCTCCCCCTAAATCCGATTGTAGACACTTAATTTTGCAGGAAAAGGACCGCTCAACCATAAGACGAAAACGAGCAAAAATATCATATAAGTCCGTTTTTGCACGCATAGGAAACAACCAAGTGAAGCGAGAGAAGTCATCAACGAATAAAACAAAATATCGATAACCATTAACAGATGTAACAGGCGCAGCCCCATATATCGGTATAAATCAAATCAAGTACATGACGACTCGACGAACTAACACGAGGCAAGGGAAATCGAGAGGACTTCCCAAGCTGACAAGGCGAACACAAAGACGAACTAATACTTTTAACAGACGAACTAACAGGACAAGACTTCAATACTTGACCCAAGACGCGATGGTGTGGATGTCCAAGACGCTTGTGCCAAACCAAAGGAGATGCCCGAGACGCAAAGAACGCAGCAGACGCGGAAGGCGACATTGGCCACGTATACAGACCACCAGAGGTGCGGCCTTCATACAGGACTGCCTTGGTTGAAGGATCCTTCACAAAGAAAACATCAGGGTGAAATTCGAAAAAGACATTATTATCGGTGGCAAACTTACGAACAGACAATAATGACGCAGAAAGAGAGGGAACATGTAAGACATTAGATAGATTAAACGAACGAGACGCAGTGGTTAACGAAGCATGACCAAGACCAGAAATAGGCAAACCTGCACCGTTTCCAACACGGAGAGTGTCCGGGCCAGTATACTCAGCCATAAAGGACATCACCGAGGCATCCGGGGTGGCGTGATCTGTAGCACCGGTGTCGGGAACCAATCATGAGGACCCGCAGAATCAGTATCACCAGTCTGAAAAGCCATATGAGCCTGAGGAGCTGGATCATGAGCATAACGCTGAAAACATGTATGGGCAGTGTGTCCCTGGGCATTACACAACTGACACCGCGGAACATACGAGCGGCCACCACCACCGCGATTTTGACCACGACCGCGGCCACGCTGCCCACGGCCACGGCCACCCCGACCATTTCGGCCACCAGACCTGCCGCCACGCTGTACAGCCATCATTGCCGGACCAGAAGGCCCTCCGACAGCACCATCATCCGCACATATAAACTCGTTCGCGACCAAAAAATCCGCGAGTTCAGTAAGAGAGACCGGCTTACCTGTCGTCAGAGTCACTGCAAGAGGCCGATACTCCGAGCGCAATCCACGGAAAACATACAAATTCTGGTCATCCAACGAAACATGGCGACCGGCCAAGGCTAAGTCATCGACTATGACCTGCGCACGACCAAGGTAGTCAGCCACGGACTCAGTCCCTTGCCGAAGATTCTGCAATTGTCCAAGCAAACGAAGAATACGGGCACGAGTGGTCGAACCAAGAACACGCTGAATCGCCGTCCAAACCTGCCGAGACGTCGTCCGACCTACCGCATGATGCATAACCTCCTCAGAGAGAGAAGAGATTAGCATTGAAAGGACTGCTTGGTCTTGCTGCAACCACGCCGCACGAGCAACTGATGGATCGGGCACAGCAGATTCGACCACGGTAGCACCAGGAAAAACAGGGACAGCGGGAGCGGCAGAAGGACAGGGATACGTGCCATCAACAAAGCCAAGCAAACCTTGACCACTGAGAAAAGGCACCAATTGAGTCCGCCAGAACAAATAGTTCCGGGACGTGAGCTTCACCGAAACAAAATGGTGAGCTGCGGACAGCGAGAGATGAGCCGTGGGGGCTATCGCGCTCGAAACCGAAACAGTTCGTTCGGAAGAGACAGCGGCGTTACTAGCTTGCTGATCCATCGGGAAAAAAAAAAAAGGAAAAGAAGAATAAAGAACCCGAGTCTCTTGATACCAGATGAATGTAGTTGTATATTAATCATCATAATCAGACACAATACAAAGGATATATAAGCAAGGAAGTAAGACTAGAGTCCTAGTCTAACACAAACAAGAATAGAATTCTAGTGTACCATAAATACAAGTCCTAACAAATTCAAGTTTAGGCACCGTTTTCCTTTCTTCTAAAGAATGTTCACTTGATTCACACACAAGTGAATATATTTATGAGTTTGTTGAGCATGGCATTGAACAAGTTGGAGTTGAAAATGTTGTTCAAGTTGTCACGGATAATGCCTCAAACAACATGGGAGCTTCAAAGTTGTTGAAAGAGAAGAGGCCAACCATCTTTTGGACTTCTTGTGCCACCCACACGATAAATCTAATGCTTCAAAGCATTGGAAATCTCTCAAGGTACAAGAAAGTCCTTGATCAAGCAAAGGCTTTAACGATCTTTATTTATGCTCATCACAAGACTTTGGCAATGATGAGAACTTTCACAAAGAAGAGAGATATAGTGAGGCCCGGTGTGACTAGATTTGCATCTTCATTCCTTACTTTGCAAAGTTTAGCCGAAAAGAAGATTGAATTAAGGGCAATGTTTTCTAGCAATGAATGGGAGGCATGTAAATTTTCCAATATGGCTAAAGGGAAGGTAGCACACTCAACCGTAACGAGTATGGGATTTTGGCAAGGTGTAACGGCATGTTTGAAGGTTTTTGCACCATTGGTGAGAGTACTTCGACTTGTTGATTGTGATAACAAGCCATCAATGGGGTTTGTATATGGTGAGCTTATGAGAGCAAAAGAGGAAATCAAACATGCTTTGTCCGATGTCCCAAGGAACTATAAATCGATTATTGACATTATTGAAGAAAAAATGAAAGATAGGTTTGACTCTCCTCTTCATTTGATGGCATATTTGTTGAATCCTTATTACCATTATAAGGATCCACAACTTCATTTGGACGAAGTTGTAGGTGTTGGAGTCGTTGATTTTTGTGATATTCTATTCGTCAATGATTTTGACATGCAAAATAAGATTTTAAGTGAAGAATTACCAAAATATAAGAAGAAGGAGGGGATGTTTGGAAGAAGCATCGCAATCAAAGCATGTGAGGTGAATGATGACAACTTTAATCCCGGTAAGTCATTCTTTATTCTTTAATACTTTATTGTTTACTTAATTATATTTATTTAGTTATATTTAATTATTTATTAATTATTATGAACTTTGTTTTGTAGCAAATTGGTGGTCAACTTTTGGTACCTCAACCCCTTTATTGAGAAGAATAGCCATAAAGATTCTTTCTTTAACATCTAGTTCTTCGGGGAATGAAAGAAATTGGAGCACATTTGAAGGGGTTAGTAACTTAATATGATATTTTAATATTTTATTTAGTTTGTTATCAACTTGAAGTTAATATAAATATGAATTATGATAGTTAATATTTTATTAATCATTATTTAAACTTTTGAATATTTTTATTACTTGAATTGTAGATACATACAAAGAAGAGAAATAGACTTGAATCAAATCGTCTCAACAATTTAGTTTTTGTCCAATTTAATGCTACTTTGATGAACAAGAACAAGCAAGATAAAAATATTGAAAAGTTGGTTGGTAGTGATGCAAGTTTAATACAAGATTGGATTGTGGAAAATCTTGAGAATGATAAGACTGAGCCGGGATTGGATTGCAACAATAATGCTATGGAAGTGGATGAAGCATTACAACCCCGTAGAAGTGCTAGATTGAGGGATCTTGATGAAGATAACTTTGAATCGGAAGGGGAAAGTGAGGAGGAAATAAATGAAGTGGAGTTTGAAGATGATGGGCAACGTGTTATTGAGCAATATGGACAAGATGAAGAAATTGGCAATGATCCTATTCAATCATGATTCATGAATCACTTTGGATTTCAAAACTTTAAAATTTGGACTTGAATGTTGAATTTTTGTTGAATGTTAATTATGTTGTAACTTGTAAGTTTAAACTTTAAACATTGATACTTGGATGTTGTTTCACTTGTTTCATTAGTTGGATGATTAAATGTGGTATTGTTGTTTGAGTAATTGAGTATTTGACTTGTTTAGTTGTTTGAAGGAATGCATGATAAATTGATAGTTTTATTATTTGGGCGTGCTATTTGATTGAATGTTGAAAACAGCTTCATTAAATTTGTCAAACTGCAAGTCTGCTACTGTTTTTTAATTTTTTTTTTTTAGAGCCCGCCTAGCGCCGCCTAGAAGCCTAGGCCCCGCCTAGGCGCTAGGCGCTGCCCGGCTGCCCGACTAGTGCCTAGCGCCTACTGCAACCTTGCATATATATAATAATGTATATATACCTCATTCAAAATCACTGAATGTATCTTCTACAGTAGCATAAAGTTGAGTTGGCACGGGAATATTAAATTTCCCTCTACCATCAACCACATCATCAACAAAAACTTTGACACAATTTGGTAATAGTGATTGATGATGCATCATGGTCTCATCTGTTCTTGGGTGAACAACACCTGCTGCAACCTCAATCGGTATCCCACCAGAACATACCGCAAGTCTACACCTTTTCGCACTCTATTATAAAAAAAATACTTAATCTTACAATAAATGATATTTTGATTATGAAATAACTAATTAATATTATTACCTTAATTGTGGCAATTGGATCAACTGAATGACAACTGCTCCAGGTCTGAGGTATATCACAAGACGTAGGGATACTTTGAGGAGTTCCATCCGAAACACCTTGTGGAATTAAATGTGTTGATGGCATGTTCTTCATCAAAAAATGGAGTTGTTGGTTGAGAGCTTCAATCTTGGGTTGCCACCTTTCTTCCATCTCCGTCATTGCATCTTGCCTGCATTTCGCCATCATTTCTTTGACAACATCAACCGAGACAACTCCACTCGATGTGCCTCTATGATGCTCTGGTTTACCAAACACTCCTTGGATAGTAGTGTATCCACCAACTCCTCTTGCAGAACCCGAATAATCTCCCTTTCCAATAGCTGCTGACAATATATCATGATGCCACTTCGGTTGAAATGTCCCTTGACTAACTTCTTCACATTTTTCTACTTGTAAAACACATACTCTGTATTTCATTTCATCTATTTTTGGACCTTATGGCAAGAAGGCATTTCTGTTGTCACCATTATACTTTATTGCAAGCTAACAATTTCATATTTAACAGTAAACTCAATATCACACTCAAATTTCATCTATTCTTTGACATTAACATCAAGGTGGCACTGCTATTGTCACATCAATTGTTTTTATTTCAAATCATCATCATTGTCAGGATTTAAAAGGGGGAGTAATGGAAATTATTGTAGAGGGAAATAAAAAGATTAAGGTAGTTTTAGCTTTTTAAAGAAAACAGAAAGAAGGGGAAAAACAAAACTAAACTTGCTATCAAGTATACCCAATAACCTAGCTACTTTCACTAACTGCTCTTTCCTAAAGACATTTTTATTTAATGTCTAACCATTTAGGCAAAGCTCACCATTTTAAGAAGAAGAAGAAGCATAAGAAGGCAGCCAACAAATGATAGTTAAGGTGTAATTTATACTTACAATTTTCTGAAATACTTCTTGTGTTTTTTTTTTTTTTTTTTTTTTTGTTTGGAATATAATAACTTCCATCTTTTGCTTTTTTTGTTCTTGCTCGTACCTAATCAAAGCTTCGGTCATCGGACATCAAAGAAGAGCTAATAGTAGCACACGAAGATTGTGAAGATAAGGGGTCTGATATCATCCACTCTTGTCGTTTAGATGCATATCCAACAGAACCTAAGAAACGTGGATGCACATTTAACGCTTGACTTTCTTTTGCCTTTCGACTTTTCTCCTATAATTTTATTGACATGTTAATATTAATAAAACACTTGAACTACTTATAATTAAATGAGCTAAATAATACCTTGAACTCCTCACTCTGCCGTCCTGCAACAAACTTCTCCCATTGCTCATCCGAAAAGTAATCATAAAGTTGTGCAGGAGATTCGTAGTTTGGGTGCTTATTGTTATAATGTTCACGAATCAATCTACTTTTGAAATCTTTCCATCTTTTTGATGCAATTTTCAAAACCACAGACTTCTTTGAAACATCTTCTAATAGCAAATTCTTTCTGAATAACAACATACACATAAGCAATAGGCATATATATAATTATAATTCGAGTTAATGCCATTTTGATCCTAGACTTATTGGGGTATGGACACTTTTCATCCTCCATAATAAAAATTTCCAATTTGTAGCCACGCTTATTGGTTGTTGGACACTTTAGTCCTCCGTCAGAAGTGCCGTTTGTTGACCGTGAAATTGAAGGGTATTGTTGTCATTTTATGTCTTCTTCTTCTCGCCTTCTCATCTCAGTAGCTCAGCTCTGTTCTCTTGGATCTAATCTGCCAAGAAATGCAAAAGAGAATAGTGAAGGAATAATGGTTGTTTTTGGGTTTAAAAGTAGGGAGACAAGATCAGGTGGGGAAACCCACTAAACCACTCCAAATTTTAATAATATGAATATGTCATATAGTAAGGTGGAAGCTGGAGCAGCTCCTAGCCATCACCGTCGTTGCTGCAACTACCGGAGAAGAGCTTCACCATGCCGTTCACTTACCATCTCTTCCACCTTCCACTTCCGATGTCCACCGCTGAGAGTGGAGACAAAAGGCGATCGAATGCCTCAACAACGCTAACCACCACTCCGGCCGTGTTCTTCTTGTCAAAGCCTTCGGCTCCGTCGCGGGTTTCGATATCTTTGAGTTGATTAGTGTGGGTCTTGCAATTAGATAGCAATTGCTTCGAATTCGGTATGAAACACTTTGAATTAGCTAAATATTTACTTCGAACTAATTAGGGCTCTTCTGGTCTTCGAACTGCTTAGCTTAGCGTGGGTTCTTGTTTAGAAAGAGGGGAAAGTGTTGCCGCTACCGCCACATCTCCATTGAGTCTCTGCCGGCGTAGTTCTCCTTATTTTTTTTTCCGGAAAAGCTCGGGGGCAGCGACCCAGACAAAGTATTGAACGAGAGACGCAGATCTGTTAAGCTAGGGAAATTAATGCTAATGAAAATATCATGCATGGTCCCAGAAATGCTGCAATTGATAGCAGAGAAGCTCCGGAGAGCTGAAACGTCCTTCAGGCTTTCCAGAAACGGCCATGGAACAAAAGGATTGTTTTCTAAAGAAACTGATTCCAAGGAGTTCATACCGGCAAAGAAATTGGGGGGGGGGGGGGGGGGGGGGGGGGGGGGGATTGAAGTGAAGCCGTTGCCGTTCACGAGGATCCACTGAAGTGAACCCAACCCAGCAAGACTGGGCAGCGCTCTGGTGAGCCCGTTTTCCATCACTTCGAAGATGGTTAAGGCGGAGAGACTTCCGATATTAGGCGATAGAGAGCCGGTGAGGCCCCGTTTCCCAACTTGGATCTTCGTAACCCACCCACCGGCATCGTCATTGCCAAGCGCACATAGAGAAGAACTACCGAAAGTGCAAGAATGGTAAATTGAAGAAGAAGACTTAAAAAGACAGAACTGTCCCTCATTTTCACGGTCAACAAATAGAAATTTAGACGGAGGACTAAAAGTGTCCAACAGCCCATAAGCATGGTTATAAATGGCAATTTTTATTATGGAGGATGAAAATTGTCCATGCTCCCATAAGTTTAGGACCAAAAATGGCATTAACTCTTATAATTATACTAGTTTTTATACGCGCTTTGCGCGAATAGGATAATGCCCAATACTTATTTTTAAAAGTATTTCAAAGTATATCAATGCAATATTATATAAAAGATGTTCATGCATAAGTAATTAAATGTTAAATTTGTTTATTTAAATCAGTAATTTAAAGTATATAAATGCAAAATAATATATGAGAGATTGAATATATATAACTTTCACAAAAATAAATATTTGCAAATTTGTAATAACGCTAATCTAAGTAGTAAGTCTAAAAGTGATAGTCTAAATAAATACTATTTTTGGTTTAAATTTTTCTAATTCTCTTTTAGATAGCATTAATATTGTTTTCATATTCAGTACATGTCTTCTTCTTCTTCTTCTTCTTCTTTTTTTTTTTTGGTTATTGGTAGTGTGTCATGTGCAATTGGGTTATTGGTAGTATCATAGAGGGATTCATCATGCAATGAGATTATGGTGTATGAAGTTTTAGATTTGTCTTGTTGTGTATATGACTGAGATCTTAGTTGTGCTATGAACTCTTTATTTTACAAGCATATGTTGATATTTGGTAGTTGTAGTTTTCCCCTACATGTTTCACGTGTTGTGAGACATCTAATTCTAAATTAATTAAATGCATATGTATTATTTTTTGTTGTAGCTACTAATTTATTTTTTAATTTAAGTAATAAGAGCAAGTGGAACCGTGTCCATCTTGCAAGGTGGACACGGTTCCAAAACTGTTCATAATTATGAATATATAGTTCAAAAATTATGAACATAGAGTTATGAACATAATTATGAACATATAGTTCTGTAATTATGAATGTAGAGATTTAATAATTCTGAATATGAAGTTAAAAAATTATGAATATATAGCATTATAATTATGAACATATAGTTCAGTAATTATGAACATAGAGTTCTGTAATTGTGAATATAGAGTTCAATAATTATGAATATGAAATTCAAAAATTATGAATATATAGCTTTATAATTATGAACATATAGTTCAATAATTATGAACATAGAATTGTGTCAACATTGCAAGGTGGACATAGTTCCACAACATAACGATTGAATAAAGTGGCGTACATACTTTTCATCCACAATAATGAAATCATTGATTTTTTTTTTTTTAATTTCCATTCGTTGTTGAGACAAATTGTTTTGAGAGTTTGTCAATGACAATTGCTGTCAATAGATGATGATAATAAATAATTCAAAATATAGAGTTACAATAGATATTATTATAACAATATAGTAAAATTAACTTACAAATTTCTTTAGAAGTTTTCATGCATTGATAAAGCATAATTGAAATATTAAGTTTTGTTCTC